TTTTTTTTTTTTGGTTTTGAAGTTTGTGCCTCCTCGTTATACCTCATCACATTATTTCGAGGGAAAAGAAAAGGAGATCATGTGGTATACAGTACATTGTCAGTTTTCATTCCTGACTGCAGGGGGGTATTCCGTCTGGTATTTAAAATAGTTGCAGGACTTTTATATTTATAGAGTTAATATAATTATAGGTATAGAGGGCATTGCTGATCTGGAATCACTCCATACGAGGTTAAATGTTCTTAAAGGAATGGTATACACAGACGTTAAATTATTAAAATATGCTTAGTCTACAGGAGAGAAATCTACAAGGGTACTCAATTCAAGTGTTTGACATGCTTATGCATAAAATTCTCATGTTTAGAATTTAGATTCTCTGAATAAAAAAACATAGAAATAAGTATGTGAAAATATGTGAAAGAAATGAGCTGTTCACTTCTGATTCCTTTCCAGAAACAAGGAAAATATTTATTTCGAAACCAGAAAGTTGTGAAAATTGAAATGGAAGACACTTTTTTTTTCTGGCACAGTTGAATAAAATATGATTCATGTACAATATAACATTGTGAAACATGTCTTGTTTAAATAAAGTGAAGGAACAGAAAACCTCGACAGATGTCCAGCATTTTGGCAAGAAACATTTCCATACACTTAATTAAAGCCTGTAATAAGTATCTTGTTCAGTGTTTCTCTTTTAGATTTGAATTAGTTTTCTTCTCTTTCATTATATTTATCTAAACACACCCTTTTTATTATTGGTATTCATTTTACATCTTGGGCAAATAAACAGATGGTTGTTTCTTTGTGCTGAGGTTTTGTTTTGCTAAAGTGCCTTTGGGTAGTGATTAACCATAGAAGGTTTTTGTTGTGTAATGCAAAAGTTTAACTTGGTTTTTAGTGTTATTACTAAAATATTTACGCTACAACAGATGACCCAAAGAGAACTGTAATACCTGATCATTTTTTACTCATAAAGGTGATATTCTGTTTAAGTAAAGATGTGGAAATCATCATTCTGTAATCTGTGATTTATCTGTAGGTGAAAAGTAAAGTTTCATGTGCTGCAAATGTTCAAGATACGGTATCACTACATTACTTTGGCTTTCTCAAAGAATAACACATCAATTGAATTTCATTCAATAAGGCATTATATGTTTAAGTAAGGATTTATAAGGTGGAATTTTTTCATCCAAATATAGATTAGGAAGCATAGTTTTCAACATTTCCTAAAATAGAAATGTGCACAGATAATTTGCTATCTGTAACTGACACACATAACATGAAGATCAGCATGCTGTTAATATTGTACCTGTACCAGTAAACGGAGTAATGTACAGTTGCTCCTCAGCATGTTGCAGAGAAAGCATCAGCATACTTATCTTTTCAGGCTACAGTGGGCCAAGTCTTTTGGCTATGGAGGTTGTTGGGGAATAGGGAAATGTTTCTGGGTGTCTAGAAAGTTTTACCCAGTGAAAATGTGGTCATTCTATGTTGTTGTTTAGGCTAAGCATGGTCACAGACATTACAGGTCGTTTCTGGCTTTAGCGGGCAAAGGACATATCTCAAATGTAATTTTTTTTATCATCAAAGCTTTTAATACAACTCTCTTATTCCACATGTAATATTAATTTCACCCAAAACTGTTTATTCATTTACATGTAATTCGCCGTTTAGTTACTTTTTGACTGCATTCGTTAGCTTAAAAAACGGCTCGTTTAATTCCCGCGACCAATTGTCACTGAGAGATAAAGAGATAAAGAGAGATAAAGAGATAAAGAAAACAAATGAACTAAGGTCTGTTTTTTTTAATAATGTCTTGTAACATTTTGGATAAGACAACTGAATGATACTGATACTGATACAACTGATACTTTTAATACATTAGGCGTTACGGTATTCCTTCTCTTTAAGAAGACAGTCTGAAAATATTCACAGAAGCACACAAGCAGGAAACCACATCCATTACTGACCATTGCATTATCATTATTAACAGTTATTCTGCACACTTCTCTTTTCCTAAAAGCAAAACTTGCACTACCTTTGTTGGGGTCTGTGGACACAAGACCGTGGTCTTTCTGGCCGCAGACCGGGGACGCCCTGAGCAGCTTACACGGCGTCTTGCACAATTCTACACTGGCTAATACTGTAATGATATATTTAACACATCACACTGTTCAAGGAATCAGGGTGGACCTTAAAACAGATATCTTAAATGTGAAAATAGTAGTAAAACATCTTAAAATAAATACTGGAGTGAGCTGCGGGCAGCTGTGAAGACTAATGCATGGGGCCTGCAGTATATGCGATAATAAAGAACATGCACGAACTACTGTTTTTCCGTGCTGTAAGTAGTGTTCAGTTCCATATTGTTTAATATTTACAAGGGCGAGATTGGATGTCTCTGCCATAAGGGCTTCTACTTCTTATTTCCACTATTCAGAATCTGAAGTGAAAATGTGCCTACAGGATAAAAATAATTCAAGGGGTAAATATTTAAGTAGGAACGTATTTCGAAGTGGGATATTATTACAACTTGTCACTGAGGAACCACCATGAGAAATAATGATACGCTATTCAGAAATTAGATCTCTGCGCTATTTAGAAAGTCAATAAATTCAAATACTATCTTTGAAATCATAGAATCATAGCATTTTTATTTCATTGTTAAAAGACATCTGAAATCATATTCGGAGGCCACATACTGTTGGATTTAAAGAGTACACAAAGACCAAAACCAAAGTTTTCATTACCACTGCTAGATGCATTATTGAAATTCTAGGTAGGCTGTTGTTACAGATAATACAGGACTTGGGAGCACGCAGATGAGGCGTCTCACTTTCTAGGTGTTAATAAACCGTATATGTTTCAAACCTCGGTAAGATTAAAATGGCGGTGTAATAAGAAACTTTCAATAAGTCGTGGCAACAGATCCCTTAAGAAATACTTTAAATAGTCTTGGTTTTGGTGGAGCTCTTTTATTTACCTTAGCTCTGTACAAGTGGTACATCCCAAGGAGTTGTTCCCAGTGTAGTTCCTCGGGCAGATTCATTTTCAACGAAACTGAGGAGAGCTGCGGTCAGTGGAATAAGGAAGCTGCTTGAAAGAGGTTGGGGCTAGTAGACGTCATAATGTACTTGTAAAACATCTGTTTAGATTTTATTTCATACGGCTGTACGAATGCATAAATGTATTTGTAACCTTTCGAACTTTTACATCCGACGGCAACTTTATTCCTGCAGTTAAGCTGAAACAGTTCCGAAGTAAGAAAAGCGCAGAGCGAGGAGAGATCAAAGGATCTTTGCAACAGGATACCGCCTGAGAAACCCACCCGTTTCTTTAAGCACGGAAAGAGGGGAGGATTTGAACAACACGTACTGTATATGTGAGTCATTTAAGTTTTCTTCTCTTCCAAAATCAACGAAATGCTCGTAAACTTTGACTGCATGTCCGTGTGATGAATTGGACCATCAAATGGAAGCTGTTCTGTAAATTTATTAGGTGGAGCGATTGGAATACGTAAAAAAAGCGGTTTTATTTTTTGTGCGAATTTAATGAAGAAAAAAAGTTCGAAAACTTTATCCACGTGAGAAACATTTTCTTTCCGCTGGTGTGAGCAGATACCGAAGGGGGGCTTTCTTACCCTAATTTCTCACTCTGACCTTGTTCTCTCATCAGCATTTTTGGGATCTTTTGATAAATACGATTTTTTGTAAAGTAGTGGAAGAAAATGCTTGTTGCCGATTCCTTGATTTGTTTTAAGATCTTTCCGAACCAGAAGACGCTAAATCATTTGAGGTTTGGTTTAGTGGTTTTCCTTCATGTGCTGGTTATAACCTCCTCTCAGGCAAACACTTGTCCAGAAAAATGCGTGTGCTCTATTTCGGAGAGGACAACAATTGCAAAATGTGTGAACAACGGTCTGTCTGCCATTCCCTATCCCTTGCCGGCAAACGTGAAGACTTTGTTCATCACCGGGAATAACATCTCTCACCTTACGGGAGATTCTTTCCAGCAGACACTGGAACAGCTGACCTACCTGAATCTCAGTGGAAATAAAATTGAGCAGATAGACCCAAAGGTGTTCACCAATATGCCAAGGCTCGGACAACTTGATTTGAGCAACAACAGGATTTTCAGGTTCAGTGCTGAAGCGTTCAGCGCCGACAACGTATTACAGCAGCTAAATCTAAGCAGTTCGATTTTTAATTCCTCCTACATAGAGGAAATCTCAAATGTGCTTCGAATCGGAACTTTTCTGAACCTGACCACCCTGGAGCTATCGTATAACGACCTTGTTTACCTCCCAGAGGGTATGTTCTCCAACTTGCCAAACCTGAAGAATCTTGACTTGAGAAACAATTCCATAGTCAGCGTCAAAAGGGGCGCTTTAAAAAATCAGCGTCTGGAAAATCTAGATTTGAGAGAGAACTCTCTGAAGGAACTCTCAAATGACACTTTGAATGAGCTTGATCTGCACCCAGACATTAAAATCCTGCTAGCAGGCAATTCCTGGCTCTGCAATTGTAACATAGAGGATTTTCTCCTTTGGCTACAGAAATCTGAATCTGTACTGGACAAGCAGGACCTAGTCTGTGCTTTCCCTGAAAACCTGAGAAACACACGATTGCTCCAGATGAATGCATCTGAACTCCAGTGCACTTTCTCTGAGGATATGAAAGGTGTCTTGCAAACTTCATATGTCTTCCTGGGAATTGTTCTAGCCTTAATCGGAGTGATTTTTCTGCTAGTACTGTACCTGAATAGAAAGGGCATCAAAAAGTGGCTTTACAACATTAGAGATGCCTGCAGGGATCATATGGAAGGATATCATTACAGATATGAAATCAACACTGACCCAAGGTTAACAAATCTAAGTCTGAATTCTGAAGTTTGAGAGATGGAAACGCTGTCCGTATCAAGGCATGGTGACTTGTTATAGCTATGCATGAAATCCTCCTGTAAAAAGGGGCTTAAATCTGTGCTTGCCCTTCTCCATAGAAACCAGCATCTTTAACAGTAAAGACTTTTATTTAGTTCACGCTGGGAACTTGCCACCATGTGCCCATGTGATGTGATGTTCACTGATGTGTTTTGTCATCTCTTGATGTTGTGCAATGCTGCATGATACAGGGCTTGGAATACTGGGGGCCCAATACAAGGATATTGAACTATAACCCATCTGGAGATTCTTTTCATACAACAGAAATGCAAAGACTGTACAGAGTTTTCATAGTACCACTTAAAAGCCTAGTTTACAGTGTCTTCATATTTATTATATGTTAAGTGCAGTATCTTCCTCATGTTTTTTTTTCCCTTTAGAACCCAGTTAAGCCTTTGATCCTAAGAAAAAGCAAAATTTGTAATCTGCAATATCATGAATGTCATAATATTTAGTCTTGTTATGAAATGTGCAGCAGTACGGAATATTTTTGTGTTTTGTTTTTCTTAAAACATATATGTATGACCAAGAGATGTTGCATTATTGCTTCTATAGACAACCTTTTTTTTTTCTATCTTCCTCCAAATAAATCCTTTTTGGAAACTATTTGCTGAAATTAAGCTATTTGCGTTACTGCCTTTTTTCCTTTGTGCTGAAGCCCTTAAAACTTATTAGGAACTTGGAAGTAAGAATGCTGTAGCTTCAGGCGAAAGACAAGGTTACAAATGAGTTTTCCACAGAAAGCTATCTGTGTTTCATAAAAATGGCCAGCGAGACCCAATATAGTAGGCTCTGGGATATTTCTTAGAAATCATTCAACTCGGCAAGAAAATTGCAAAATAACTGACCATAATAAAGACTTCCAAAGATCAGATAACTCAAATTCTATCTGGAGTCACTTGTACAGCAGACTTCTCCAGCTTTCATATTTAAGTTTTAATATGCAATGGAATGTCTCATTTTCTGTCCTTCAAGTTACCTCTGCAATAAGTTATTTAAAATGGTAATCTCCACATAAATCTGACGAAGTCAGTGTGTTTAAGTGAGTATAAAGACCCTTTCTTTTGTTTCTCTTCTAGAAGGGTCACATAATTGGATAAAATAGAAATTCAGTACAGCTTTAATAAGTATTATACATAAGGTGAGTACATATTTGCAGAAGGTTTTAGAAATGTAATTCAAATGTGAAAGAAAATCCTTATTTACAGTTGTCCATAGTGCATTTTATACTTCTTTTCTAATCGTTTACCACCCTAATTAGGGTCCTCTTTAAAATTTCTCTGTTAGTATCTTTTTTTATATATATACTTTCTTTATGCCTCATTGTAATTCACAGATTATTTTTTTCCTTGAAATGATTAATAAAATAAACCATTGGTGCAAAATGAATTGGTAGCAGGGTTATAAACTGTGTATGACATTCAGTTTTGTGAATTATAGAGAAATCTAATAAAAAAACTACAGTTTGTCAAATGTAGAGGACATACTGTACAAGTAACAAAAGAAAAGGGACACCAGGAAGCAATACTGATACTATCATGGTTAAAACTGCAATATTTTAAACATTCTGAACAGGAATTTTGCTTTTATTCAGAGCAAAATATGATGGCCTGTCTTTGTGTATGACTTTCAAAACAGGGGATGAACAGTGAAAATTTGGAAGATCAAAGCTGGGAAGGGTGATTCAATAAATGTGTTCGATGAATGGAAGAATGTAGTACCTGATTAGTTCCATAAAATAAATGCCACCTAATTAGACCACCTTAGGAGAAAGAACAGACATGTTAACTATGTTATAATTTAAAACACTTGTACTTTACATTTCCTCACCAAAAAAAGGTTCTGCTTGTGGAAAGAGTCTGAAATATTCAGTTTAACATTTCCTTGTTTAAAAATGAGATCAGGGACTTATAAATTCTGCATTGGATACTGTTTTACAAATGTTTATTTGAAAGCACAGCCTGTATATTGAATAATGTAGGACTCGGTTGTAAATCCTGAGGACAGTACCATTTTTCAGAATTAATTCCCAAGTATGTGAACTTATTCAACAGAAATGCCATTTTTCTACTTCAAAGGGCAACAGAAACATGGTACTTATTAGGAAAAAACACTGACTTTCCATATGAGTATATTGAGATGTTTTTGAACATTTTAACAGTTTAAAGGAGCTTTTAGTTTAATAAATCATCAAGTATCTGACTTACCAGTTCTATTTGGCAAGGCAGACAAAAAAAAGTGAAGCTGCAGTGTTAGCATCTGTGATTTTCCTTAAAGTCTGTCATTTTCTAAACCACTTTTAGCACTTTCTCCTTCCTGCCATCTGTCTGACCAATAACAATTTTGACTCTTTGGGTTGTAAACACTACGGCAACCCTAAGACAAATGGCCTGAAAATGGAAGGATGTTGTAAACACAAGCCCAGAGCTTAGGTGTCCTGTCTGTTCCTGGTCAGTTCAAGCCCAGCTTGCATCAGCATCAAAATTCTATTTCTCTCAAGACAATAATTTAACTTATTACCAGGCAGAGGAAAAAAAAAACAGCCTGGTGATGGAAAAAATCTCGAAGCTCCACATGAAGCAAGCTCAGTTTTTTTCTGCTGAAGCAGTCGTCCATCGCAGAATATTCTGTCAAACCCTGGATCACTTGCATGATGTTGTACTGCATCTGGCCATGAGACTGAAATGACTTATATTAGAAAACAGTATAGCACCAGGAAGGCTTTGAATAATCTACCTATTTTTATCGGCTGAAGGACCATTTCATACATTTTCTCCTTTTGTACTGTATAGTTTTCTCACCCTGTCAAAATAGTCAAGGCTCACAATTAAGGATTGTGTGCTTCACATTAATCTGTCTTTGCTTCAGGTTTATTTTCAATACATTAAGTGGTTTTCCTTGTTGACATTTATTTTTATGGTTTTTTTTTGCACTGTGCACTTTTGTTGTTTTTTTTCCCACAGGAAACCGACATTATCACAGAAATATACAGTACAGCTTTAAAGTCTTTACATGCATTTCAGTATGATATAGTAGCTTTAACTATGTAATCATGAACATCAATGTTTGCAAAGGGCAGCTTACTGTTTTCTGTTCTATTTTGTTGGTTAGATTTTTAAAGCAACAGAATATTATATTACGATTCTTAGGTTCCAATGTCAATTTTTCATACATAAGTCTTAAAGTGCCATTCTGTATCTAAACTAAAATTTTCTAAATAGCTTATATAACACAAAATCAGTACCACCAATGATAATGCATACACAGACAATTACTTCTAATTTTATAATAATGGACAATATCTTAAGTGTTTACACTGTTCTCCTATATCTTAAAGTCAGTTAATATGGCCAAAACTCCAAATCAAAAGAGTGATGCTAATCATTAACTTATCCTAATTTATGCTAATCTCTTTTAAATCATTAAGTTATCAAACCTAAACCAGCAAGCCTAAATATTTAACCTGACTGGGGCCATCCTGAGTGAGGTCATTAAGCTAATAATCACAGGGATGGGTCAAAACAGAGCAAGTCAGGATAATACAGGACTCAGTAAACACAGGGGACAAAGACAAAGCAAACATCAGAGAGGAAGACAGAAGGAAAGATTCCTGGCTAATAGAGAAGAACCTCTTGCTACGATCAATCCAGAACCTGTCCAGGTAATTTAAGCACTGCAGGACTACTGAAGTCTAAGCTTTACTGGCAAATGAACTTGTCATCTAGTTTATTTGTAGAAATATTCATTCATTCAAGAACATTCACTAATTCTTGTGTCCTCAACCTAAAAGGCAATTTATATAATCAATATACTATTATCAATAGTGGAATAGATTGTCATTTGATTAGAATCCATTTCATGAAGAGCAATACATTCCTGATTAGGAATTGTGATTATTTAGACACAGGTTTCCTCTTTGCCTTTATGGTGCTTATACAGTATCTTGATGGCAGGGGGAATTGTGAACTTTCTATTTCTCTAGAAAGCATTGCTCTGATACTTGCAGAATATCAAATAAATGTATATACAGTAGCTCTGAATTGTTGTGTGTAAGTTATGTGTACATATGGGTCCCATTTAAGCTATTTATTACTCCATTATAAAACTGTGCCAGAAAATTAAGACGGCATAATGTCATACACTGGATATTCCCTAAGTATGGCAGGTGAAATTAACATTAATCATCTTAATTTGTTTTCTCAGCAAGCTGGTGTCAGGACCTCATTTTAATTTGATAACTCATTATTTTATAAATTCCAAACTCATTATTCAGTAGAAACACAAATATGTACATTGTGGTCAGTTCACCCCTAGGATTGGTATTTTATGGTTTAACATATGTAGACAAATTTGGCCTTTCACCTAGTCTTCGCCAAATCTTAATAGCAGATAAAATTAACCTCTTTGAACAAGTAAGTGCACCATTACTTCTACCATCTTCATTAGGAGGGTATGTAGAATGAGGTACATTAAAATGTGCAGATCACTATTTGATCAGGATGTGACTCCTCCTGTATATAATTTAAGAAACTTTGTCAGTTTGGTCTCAAGCATTTAGGTTTGTGGTAACACATCATGCCAATATCAAACGAAATCTGTGACAGTCTTAAAGAAAGAACTGTTACTGCTTATCAGTCTGGGAAGGGTTATAAAGCAATATCCAAACAATATAAAGTCCATTCACAGTAGGAAAATTAATCTGAAAAATTCAAGAACATTGCTATTCTACTCAAGAGTGGCTGCCCTACCAAAGTCAGTTTGAGTTCCAAGACTTGACCGTTAGATGCATCTCAAAGTCGCAAAGAACCCTTAGGTTATTTTTTAGAGATCTACAGGCCTGTCTTACTAGGGTAAATGTCAGCGACCGTGAGTCCACCATTAGGAAAATATTGAATAGAAATGGCTTTCATGGAAGATAGCCTGGATGAAACCCCCTCTCTTCAAGAAGAACACTGCTACACAGCTGAAGCTTGAAAAAACGGCACTTGAATGAAAAACTAGACATCTGGAGTAATGTGGGCTGAACAGATGAGTCGAAGATGGAGTTGCTTGTCTATAGGGCAAAATGTCATGTTTGGTGAAAACCAAACACTGCCTTTGACCAGAAGAACCTCATACAGCCGTCAAGCACGACGGTGCTGGGGGAGGATGATGGCATGGGTCTGTTTTCCCGCCTCAGGACCTGGATGCCATGCTGTCAAGCTGAACAAAATCGATCACACAACAGAACAACGATCCAAAACACACAAGCAAATCTAAGATAGCATGGCTCAGAAAGAAGAAATTTAGGATTTTGGAATGGCCAAGTCAAAGTCCAGACATAAGCCCCATAGAGGAGCTGTTGCGGGATCTAAAGAGCTGTGCATAAAAGAGAGCCCTCAAACATCACTGAGTTTAAGCAGTTTTGTAAGAAGGAGTGGACCAGAATTCCTCTCAGGCGATGTGTGAGACGGACCAACTCTTACAACAAATGTTTAATTGAAGTAATTGCTGCTAAAGAGAGTGCCTCAAGTTTTCTGAATCAAGGTGTGCACTTAATTTTTCATACAGCCACATTGAATAACAATTTTTTAAAATAAATAATGTCATGTGATAATACAGTACGTCATTTGCCAAACTG